TTCGATAACTCACTTAGATCTTGATGAGATAGACGATCTCAGTTTGTTCAGGAAACAATTCAGCTTCCAGAAGGTTTTTCTCTAAGGATAAGAAGTGAGAGAACAGAGAGAAAATGAGAGAGAAAAGCTATCTTGTGAGAAATGAAGTTTCTGAGCGCTAAGGCCCCCTTAAATACCCCTCCAGCCCGCGCGCTGTTGCTTAAGCGAGCTAATCCTTGCTTGAGCGAGATCTACTCTCACCTGGGCGAGAAAATAGACAGTGAAACCTATCAAATTTTTGTTATTCTCGCTTGAGCAAGGAACACCTCACTTGAGCGAGCTGCATCTCGCCTGGGCGAGAAGCATTCTCACCAGAGCGAGATTGGGTCTAGAGAACTACCTATTTTTCCTGTGACTCCTCGCTTGAGCGAGCACCTCTCGCTTGAGCGAGGTTGCCTCTTGCCTAAGCGAGATCCCTTCTTGTCTCGGCAAGGAGATAGCTGGGATAATCCTATCTGTTTTTGCTTGATCGAGAACACTCCAGAATGCCTAATTCTGCATAACAACTTCTCACTTGAGCAAAACTACCCTCCCTTGAACGAAACACCCTACGCCTTAAACTCTCAATCTTTCTCTCAAATGAGATTATATTGGTTCTCGATCATACTCCCTAACTTATCTCATGTACGACACTTAACTTTCTAACCCGTTCTACACATCACCCTCGACAACATCACAATATAGCATTCAAGAATATATTGTTTATTACCCAGCAATCATACAACTTTTACATTCACATTCTAATACATGAATAATTTATACACTTTAAGCATACACAGGACAATTCAAAATGAATAATGAATATACATAACTACACCAATCTGACAATTCTCCCCCTAAATATAATTTTTGTCCTAAAAAATTTCACTTGTGAGAGAAAAGATGAGGATATTGCTCTCTCATTCAATCCTTCAACTCCCACATTGCATGACAAGTAATTAGATCTCAAATAATTTTTACTAGTCAAATTAACTTGTCTTTGAGTTCCTTAACTTTAGTGTCTTCAATATGTGCAGTTGGAAGCTCAATTGACAAGTCATCTCATATTTGCACAGCATCTGGTTCGATCACATGAGTTGGATCCGGAATGTACTTCCTTAACTGAGACACATGAAAGATATTATGCAGTCCTGCTAACTAAGGCGATAGTGCTAATTCATAGGCTTCGAGTCCTCTGTGATGCAATATCTTATACGGCCCAATAAACTTAAGTGTCGGCTTCTTTGCCTTCAAAGCTCGTCCTACACCCATAGTTCTTGATACTTTCAAGAACATATGATCACCCACCTCAAACTCCAAAGGTCTCCGACACCAATAAACATAAGACTTTTGACGACTTTGAGTCGCCTGCAGTCTTTCTTGTATAAGCTCAACTTACTCTGCGGTTTTCTGAAGCTTTTCGGCCCAATCATCAAATGTATTTCGTCTTGAAACCAACAAACTGGAGTTCGGCATCTTCTGCCATACAAGGCTTCAAAAGGTGTCATGTTGATGCTTGAATGATACCTATTATTGTAGGTAAATTCCACAAGAGGAAGCATGTCTTCCCAATCACCCTTCTGATCCACAGCACAAGCTCGTAGTAAGTCCTCTAATGTCTGAATAGTTTGCTCTGACTAACCGTTAGTTTGAGAGTGATATGTTGAACTTAGCCTCAGTTGGATACCTAAAGTTTCTTGCAAATTTTGCCAAAACTGGGAAATGAAGCAAGGATCCTTATTAGAGATGATGCTAGAAGGTACTCCATGTAACCTAACAATCTCTGTGATATACAACTTAGCAAATTTTTCCATAGTATAAGTCATGTTAACTGGTAGGAAATGAGCACACTTTGTCAACCGATCAACTATGACTCATACAACATTATGATTCCTAACAGTCTTCGACAAATGGAACACAAAGTCCATGGTCATAAAGTCCCATTTCAATTCAGGGATTTCCATGGTTTGTAATTGTCCAGGTGGACAACAACGTTCTGCTTTTTCTTTTTGACAAGTCAAACAGGCTTTGACAAATCTGGCTATTTCACCTCTCATACTCGGCTACCAAAACGTTCGCTTCAAATCTTGGTACATTTTCGTCACTCCAGGGTGGAGATTTAAGTTGCCCTTATGTCCTTCCTCTAAAATTTTCCTCCTCAACTCAGCTTCTCTAGGGATACAAACTTGGTTTTGGTGTCGAAGAATACTATCAGTACCTCGATTAAAGCCAATTGCATGATCTGTGCCTAAAAGAAATACAATCTGGCATAATCTAGGATCCCACAACTATTTATTCTTAATCTCTTGTAGAAATTCACTGGTCATCACAATCCTACCACAACTGATCTTTCCATGTGATATATCCATGTGTAAGTTCAGGTTTTGAAACTGCTCTACTAAAAAAGACTCATTAACTCTCAGCGAGTGATGAATCCACATTTTATTGGATTTTTACTTGTCTTTTTAGTGTTCCTTGATAAAAAAAAAATAGACTTAGGAAGTGTAAATAACATAAAAATATCATTTTGGTAAAATATCATAGGTTTCTTAATTTTTGGTTAATTTACATTGATTTATATAGATATAATTTACAATTTTGATCATTTGAATAATTGTGCAAGAATTTCTAGACTTATTCCATAGATTTTTAGCTTTTGCCACTTTCAGAAGTGATAGTGGACACTACAGAGACCCCAGATTGCACTAGATCTGCGCGTAGTTACTTTCAAATCTTTAGTGACAACTACAGCAAGGGCCAAACTGATATAGCACTGCATGTAGCCACTTTCAAATCCGTAGTAGCTACGTGTAGAGCACGTAGTTACTTTCAAATCCATAGTGACAACTCCAGAGAAGAGTGATAGGATTAGGAGGCTGCGCATAGCTATTATCATTTTTATAGTAGCTACTATGGGGGACGACCACTTCACTACAAATAGATTTTTGGAAATTAGGGTTGGGAGCTTTTTACACTTTTAGAATTTTGCCATTTTGGGAACACTTGCAGAGCTTAGGTCAGCTTTGGGTGATAGCCAGGGCCCTAACCTAGGGTTTAATTCACATTTTCTCTTTACTTTCCTTTAATTTCTACATTCATGTCATTGAATTCTCTTTGTTTTCATCTGGTAATTATGACACTGATCCTCATGGAGGGCTAAATCCTTTGTAATCCTTAGTGAGTTCACTTGAATTTTTGAATTCCTGGATTATTAATGTTAATACAATTCCTTTTCCTTCATGAATTTCTCTTTCCCAATCCTTTGAATTGAATTAATGGTTGGATAAGGGAGACATTGCTTAATTAACCCTAATTCGTTTTAATAAGATTCTTAACTTGGGTCACTTAATTCTAAGTTAATTTCTAAGGTTGCATAATCTTAGGAAAATGGGTTGGAGTCCATTGAATTTGCTTAAATTTGTATGAGATTTTAAGGTTGATTCTTGCTTGTTGAGTTAATCTAATTCAAAGGAAGAGGAATGGTGTTAAATATTGAAAGGAATAAGGATAGAATCACGTGAATGAACTAAGGATTGCTATATCTTATTGATGGAATTTGACAATTTCATTGATTGCTTTTTACTTTGAATTTGGAAATCAAACAAACCCCCTTTTTTACTTGCTTTCATAGTGAATATTTGTAACATGTTTAATGCACATTTTCAAACAAAGTTATTGGAGACAACCTAGGCTTGCATCCTAGACTACACAAAATTTTTGCATACTTTGATGAGGATTGGCGATAAATCTTTATGCAATCTCAATGTTCATCAGTGAGAAAGCCTGAACTACACTCTTGCTCAAAGCATCTGCTACTACATTAGCTTTGCCTGGATGGTATTCAAGTTGAAACTAATAATCTTTAAGAAATTCCATCCAGCGCCTTTGCCTCATATTCAAATCTCGTTGATCAAACAAATACTTAAGGCTTTTGGGATCACTATATACATCAAATTGCACTCCATATAAATAGTGCCGCCAAATCTTTAAGGCAAAAACCACTGCAGCTAGCTTAAGGTTATGCATGGGATAATTTCGCTCATGGTTTCTTAAATGGCATGATGCATATGCCACCACTCTCTTATCTTCCATTAATACACATCCCAGACCTTGATGCGATGCATCACAATACACCTCAAAAGGTCGACTGACATTAGGAAGGATTAATAGCAGAGAGGACGTTAACCTCTGCTTCAGCTCATTAAAACTCCATTCACATTCCTCTGTCTAAATAAAAGGTTGATCTTGGTGAGTCAGTCGCGTTAAAGGTGAGGCAATCTTTGCGAACCCTCTATAAACCTCCGGTAGTAATTTGCCAAGCCCACAAAGCTACGAATCTCTGTGATTGTCTTGGGCCTTTCCCATTTCAACACCGACTCCACCTTTGAAGGGTCAACTACAATGCCTTCAGCTGAGATCACATGACCAAGGAATTTCACTTCCTCGAGCCAAAATTTACACTTGGACAATTTGGCATACAATTGTTTCTCCCTCAAAATTTCTAAAACAATTCTAAAATGTTCAACATGTTCATCCTTTGAATTGGAATAGATAAGGATATCATCAATGAACACCACCATGAACCAGACTAGAAAAGGTCTAAAGATCCGATTCATGTAATCCATAAATATTGTTGGGGCATTAGTAACTCCAAAAGGCATCACCATATACTTATAATGCCCATACCTAGTACAGAAAGCTGTCTTTGGAATGTCCTCATCCTTAACTAGGATTTGATGATATCCAGACTTTAAATCAATCTTGGAGAATACTTAGCATCTTTCAGCTGATCCATCATATCATCAATCCGTGTCAATAGATATTTATTCTTAATGGTTAGCTTGTTTAGCCAACAGTAATCCTCACAAAGTCTAGAACTTTCATCCTTCTTTCTCACCAAAAAGACCGGTGCTCCCCAAGGAGAACACTCGGCCTAATCATCTTTTTCTGCAATAAATCCTCAATTTGGCCTTTCAGCTCTATCAGCTCTTTGGTGCTATCCTGTAAAGTGCTATAGATACTGGCTCAGCCCCAAGAATTAAGTCTATACCAAACTCTATCTCCTTGGATGGAGGTATTCCAGGAACATCATCAGGAAAGATTTCAGAAAAATCCCGCACAACCGGTATTGACTGAAGTTCCTGCTCCCTCTCTATATCCATGACAACTAAAAGAACAAAGCATGAAGCCCTTTTACCAAGAGTTGCCTCCACTTGGGTTATAGGAATCATTTCTGGTAACTCTTGCGGCTCAGGAAAAATTAAACGTTGTTGGGCACAATCGATTACAACATGATTGGTAGTTAGCCAATCCATGTCCAATATTACATCTAAGCCCGACATAGGGATATTAATAAGATTAACCCTATACTCCCGTCCCTCAACTACTATAGGGCATCCAATACAAGCTGTCGAAGTTGTTACCAAATTCAAAGTGAGTGTCGCCACCACCAAATTACATCTCAAATCACTTACAGGCAATCCTAGGTTTTTCACATAGACATCCGCAATGAAGGAGTGTGTGGCTCCAGAATAAAAAAGCACGGAAAGGGATGTACCGACCACCATTCCTGTCCCCTGAACAAGATCTGTAGCTTGAGCAGCATCTGTCCCAGAAGTGGTAAACACACAGGCCTTAGATCTAGGCCTAATCATCTGTGGAGCCCTAACTGTTCTGGGTCTCACGGCATGTAAAGCTCTAGCTATGGACGATGCTGCTCTACTTCGAGAAGTAGGGCAATCCTTAGCTACCTGTTGGCATTGATTCAGATAATGTGGTCCTCCACACCTGAAACATCTCACTGTTGTAGGGGCTAGAGCTCTAAAAGATGGTGCACTTGCTCCCCTAGGCTGAAGAATGGAGGTGGCCGTTCCCACTAGTCTAGGGGCTGACAACGTCGCTCCCTTAGGCTAGGAAGGTCGAAATTGCTATTGGCAATATGGTATGCTATAAGGCCCTCCTGGCACCATTATTTCCTCCATAACCACTAGCTTGTTTGCTAGATTGAGCTTTCCGTACTCCCCCAACGTCCTCTAAATTGAGGCTCTCAATGATGGTGGCTTGATACACCAAATTGACAAATTCTGTAATCCTCAAAGGAATCATAGTTCTCTTAATATCCGTTCTTAGCCCATTGAAGAATCTCTGGCATATCCATTCCTCAAAGATTGGATGCAAATAAAATCGGTAGAGTTGCTCAAATTGAATGGCATATTCAAACACAAATGAGTTTCCTTGCACCAAACTTAGGAACTCCCTTTCTCTCGCAGCACGGGCATGAGGTGGAAATAACTTTTCCAGGAAGTTATTCTTAAATACCTCTCACGTAATAACCTCTCCTTGAGCATCTAACATAGTACAGGCTCCCTGCCACCACATCTCCGCATCTCCTATCAGCATATACGCGGCATAAACAACCTTTCTATCCTCAACACACCCCATAGTAATAAATATCTTTTCCACCTCTCGGATCCAGAGCTCAGCTGCATTTGGTCCATCAATTCCAAAGAACTGAGGGGGTTCACTCTTCCTAAATTCTGATAGCCCCTGATACTCAGGTGGTGGTACTGCTGTGGCAGTAGCTAGCGCTCCTGCTTCGGCTGTAGCAGCTGCTTGACTTGGAACTTACTTCTGTTGGACCACATCTAGACTCTGCCTTATGGCAACTGTTATGGCCTCCATAGTGTGAGCCATCTGGTTCACATCAGATGGAAGAGGATTTGAAGCATGTCTCCTGATGAATCCATATTTTTACTGATCTTTTAGCATAATTCTAACACAATTAATAAGAAAAATATATGAAGAAAGCAGAAAAACTGAGAAAAAAAAGAAGGAATTGAAGTTTGTTTACATATGTAGTTATTTTAGCAATTGTAGAAATTTTGCTTAGAAATTAAGTTTTTAATCTTGTTTTTGAAGGAATAAATTGAGCAAGGATCATGGAAATGGAGGCTTGAAGACAAGGAAGAAGAAAGAAGCAAGTCTGGACTCCAAAAACACAAGACCAAGAAAGTGCAGACTGGGCGTGATCACTATTGTCAGTAAAAGTGATCACTCCAGAGCTCAAAGAAGAAGAAAGACTGGGCGTTATCACTTTTATCAGTAAAAGTGAGCGTTCCAGAGAGCCTTCAACCTGGCGAGTTGCGTGTAATCACTTTTATTCATAAGAGTGATCACGCGCAACCACTTGAGCTTTGCGTAGTCACTTTTATCAGCAAGAGTGATAGTTCCAGAGCCTTCAATATCAGGAAAGTTGCGCGTGGACACTTTTTCTCATAAAAGTGTTAACGCGCAACCATAAACCTTCTGCGTGGCTACTATTTCTCATAAAAGTGACAACGCGCAAATCTAGAAAATTCTATAAATAACAGAAACGTGCAGATTTTTCAGAGTGCAGTTTTATTTTTCTGTTTTTCTGTTAGATCTCGTTGAGAGAGATTGAGAGAGAAGATTGGGGTCAAGTCTTGAAGCTTCCACAAAGAGGAATCGGATTGGAGCTTCCGGCTATGGCTTCTTGGAGTTTTTCTTCTTCTTCTTCTTTCTCTTTCTCTTCTCCCATGTTTGAGTAGTTTTCTTGTAGTTAGGGGTTTATGAAACTCGAATTGATGTATTGATTTGATTCTTGCTTCTGAATTTTGAGTTCTTAGATTAATTGAATTGTGAATTCTACTTTTCTTGCAATCTATGAATGGAAATTCGTATGGTTCATCAAAGAGGAACATTTACCGATGGAAGTTGGATTTGAATCTCTGATCTGAGTTTGCAATCGGAATTTAGGGATTTCTTAGGGATAAGGGGACCTAATTCTGCAATCTTAAGGTTCTAAGTCTTAATTCAACTTGAAATTGAACTTCACCTAAGGGATTAGGGTGGTTTAGTTGCTTGTTAGGGTCAATGAGTTAAGGGATTAACCTTTGGCTATTGATATGCGAAATTGATTGTCAATTAATCAAGTTCTTGAATTTTCAGAAGCATAATTGAAGTAATATTGACATTCTTGTGAAGTAAATTCCTAACTACCTTTCAATCCATTTCTAATCTCACATTGCATTCATTGATCTGTTTTCTGCATGTTTTTCTTTACTATTAATTGTTTTGGTTTATTACTTTTGTATGTTACAACTCTCCTTTCAAATTTGTATGGCTCAAATGGTTATAATTCTGTGAAGTGGTACTTGAAACCTAAATTCCCTGTGGAGACAATATTTGGATCTTAAATTTACTCATTACTTGCTGCAATCCTAGTGCACTTGCTAGTGTTAGATTGCGAACAACATCTCCTAGGTGGTCTTGCCATCTTAACACAAAACAAACCCAGCTTAGAATATTTACAGTAAATTCCATCTCAAAATTAACTATTCAGCTATCCAGTTAATACACCAGATTAAATGCATTTACAACCAAGTGCACGTCATCACATGTCAACACAGCACAAGCATAAGCTCAGCATATAACATAATATGAAAGTAAACTTATCGCACATTTCAACTCATTTAATACAACATCATGTTATCACTTATAGTTGATATGAATAACAAAACACAACTTCTATGAAACTTTTTTACAGCTCAGCCTAACAACATCTTACTCAACCACCCAACCCGTCTATAGCTCACCCAAGTCTCATATGCCAAAAATTTCTTACATCTATCATGTTAGAGAACAGAGGTGATCAAGCTCATTCTCCCACATAATTATCCGATTAGAAAACTTTGGCTTATGATTCACAGTTAAGACTCCCTGCTCAGAATACACAACCGAAGCCTAGTAACCTCACCCCGTAAGTTTACCTAGACCATGCTCTGATACTACTAAAATGTCACAACCACTTTTTGTAAAGAATTAATTATATTCAGCTTTACCTTTCCTAATTCATTTATTCATTTGTGAACTAAACATACGTAAGTAAAAGAGTATATCGCAGCTTATATATCACAACATTCTAGCATGTTATATTCCATCATGGCTTTTTAAACATAAAGAATCAATATTACCTCAGCTCATATATCACAACATTCTAGCATGTTATATTCCATCATGGCTTTCTAAACACTCATTAAACAACAGAGAAATCTACTTGACTATACATGTCATAACTCCTTTTTATAAAAGATCAATGACATCACACATCACTGCTCCTAATATAAAAATTATATTAACATGATAATACTAATATATTACAAATAATATAATTTTCTAAAGAAAATTTGACTTTAACATTTTCAATCAACAAATTAATAAAACCTCAAAGATATTTTACATATCATAAAGATAACATGAGTGTATGCATATAATTACAACAGTGGCTCTAAATGAAGCTCATAATATAAAATTTTTGCATAATAATTACATCAAAATCTTAGATTTGTAACCAAATGGCTTAGGTTCACTCTAATACCTAAACTACTAAGACTAAGATACATATCCCAAAATCTTCGACTCAGACAACTCTTTAGCTAGACTCTCTAGCAGGTAAATTAGACACTCCACCTGTCACTCCTGCTCACGTATCATCATACGATCATTGCAGCATATACGCAACAACACAAATAAATGTAAGGGTGAACTTATATAAATAAAAATCATAACTATAGAGTATGAAAATATTAAAATCATTAGTATAATTCATATAATTCGCAACAACTCGCACAACAACTTCAATCAATTTATGCAGCATGTTCAGCCCATTCTCAGCCTATCTAATGCAAATGCAACGATTTAATTTTCATCTGGTTTCACAACCTAAGTAATCCAGAGGAACTGTTCCAATTTAGGAGCAACCAATCTTGGTATCTGGATCCAAACAAATACAACTCAATGTCCTAAGCAGCTCTAGGATGATGAATATGATACAGCACAGCTAAATCAACAAATTATAACACAACAAATATTTATTCTTAGTCTCAACAATACAGTAATGCACAACCAAATCAACATATTACAGCACAACAAATATTTATTCTCAGCCTTAACAATACATCAATGCATACACCTTCATGCAGCCTTAATAACACATCCATACATATATTCACAGCAAAAACAAGTATTTCGCAGTATTAATTACATATTCTAGAACATATTACATAATGAAACTAAGCCGCTTAAAACATTATTTAAGTATATCCGCGTATTATTTTAACATCCTCGGCATATATAACACAACATTGCAGCACATCATATTTTACCACAACTTTCCAAACAATTATTATATAGGAGAGAAAAACATTCAACTATACATACTTTGGGTTATACCCTAAAGTTTATTCATACAATAATTAATCCTTAGCCAATACAAGATTATCTATCGTATGAACTAAATCAGCTTAGTTAAGCTCCCCTAACTTGGAACGAGTTCCAAGATCTTGCTTCTCGTGAGTCCCAAAGAGATAGATCAAGTGTTTTGGTATGAGATATAGCTCGAATGGTTCAAATCTACTCAGAGAAACATGTATAAGCCTCTTAAGAAAGAGAGAGAAAGAAATAAAAGTAAAGATTGAAAAATGAGCTCCAAAAACTCACCTAGATCTTGATGAGATAGAAGATCTTACTTTGATCGAAAAGGAATTAGGATTTGAGAAGGTTTTCTCTAAGGAGAAAAAATGACAGAACAGAGAGAAAATGAGAGAGGAAAGTTGTCTGGTGAGAAAATGAACTTTCTGGTGCTGAGGCTCTTTAAATACCCCTCCAAATATGCGTGTACTAGCTTGAGCGAGCTCTTCTCTTGCCTGGGCGAGAAAACCAGACAATGGAACCTCCCAAATTTTTTCTATTCTCGCTTAGGCGAGGAACACCTTGCTTGAGCGAGATGTATCTCGCCTGAGTGAGATCAGGTCCAGAGAGCTACCTAGTTTTCTTGCGACTCATTCCTAACCAAGCTTCTCTCACTTGATTAGGTCGCCTCTCGCCTGAGCAAGATCCTTTCTCACTTGGGCGAGGTGACAGTTGGGTAAGTCTTATCTTGTCTCGCTTGAGCGAGAACACTCCCAAACGTGCAGTTCGCACGACTCAGTCTCGCTTAAACAAGAACCACCTCACTTGAGCGAGATACTTAGCATCTAGAACTCTTACTTCTTCCTAAAATGAGACAATACAAGTCTTCAGTTATAATTCTTAGGTTATCACACACATAAACAAAAGATTTGTCACGAATCCTCATCAAAATATAAACAAAATTAATGTAATACTAGGGGTGCTAACCTAGGTCATCTCCTATGAATCATTGGACGAGTAATCAAATATCAAACATATGGTGTGCAGTGTATTTAGAAAGCAAGTAAACAAGGGGAGTTTTGTGATTTCAAGATCAATGTAAAAAGCAAGAAACAAAATTATAAAGTTCAATCAATAAAAAGTGGTAACCCCTAGTTCATTCATATAGATTTTATCCATATTCCTCGCAAGATTTAATATTCTTCCTCTCCTCTCAGAATTAGGTTAATATAACAAGCAAAAATCAACCGAATTAAGCAATTCAATAGACTCAAATCTCTCATCCCAAGATTACGCAACCTTAGAAATAAACCCAGAATTAAGCAATTCAAGTTTAGAATCTCATTAAAATGAATTAGGGTTAATTAAGCAATGTCCCCCTCATTCAACCATGAACTCAATTCAAGAGATTAGGAAGAAGAAATTCATGAAAAAAAAGAAATTATATTAAAATTCAAAAGCCAAGGAATTCAAGAATCCATATGAACTCACTAAGAATTACAAGAAAGTTTAGCCCTCCATGAGGATGGGTCTCACAATTACAAAATGAAAGTAAAAGGAAATCAATAACATCAAGATGAAAAATCAAAGAAAAGTGAAGAAGAAATAGAATTCAAACCCTAGGTTGGACCCTTGGCTGTCACCCAAGGCTACCCTATGCTCTCCCAAAATGGAAAAAAATCTAAAAGTGTAAAAAGCTCCTACCCTAATTTCTAAATTTCTATTTATAGTGCAAAGATTTTCGTCCATAGTAGCTACTATGGTTTTATAGTGATGACATTGCAGTACTCCCATAGTAGCTACTATGGTTTCATAGTGGTTATGCGCAGGTCACCATGCTATTGACCCTCTTTGGAGTGTCTACTATGGATTCATAGTAGCTATGCGCAAAACTAGGTGACTTTAGCCTTCTCTGGAGTGTTCACTTTGGAATCAGAGTGATCACTTTGGTTTGCCCTGGAGTGTTTACTATGGAACCAAAGTAGCTACGCGCATCACCTCTTCAAACTGGGGTCTCTGTAGTGTCTACTATGGAATCAGAGTGATCATTTGGTCTGCCCTTCTGGATCTAGCTTGTTGTAGTGTCCATTATGGAATCCAAAGTGGTCACTTTCAACTCAAACTTTCTCAAATGCTAAAAATCCATAGAATAAGTCTAGAAATTCCTGCACAATTATTCAAATGATCAAAATTGCAAATTATATCTATGTAAATCAATGTAAATTAACCAAAAATTAAGAAACCTATGATATTTGACCAAAATGGTGTTTCTATGTTATTTACACTTCCTAAGTCTATTTTTTCTATTAAAAAACACTAAAAAGATAAGTAAAAATCTAATAAAATATGGATTCATCACTTACCCATTCACATTCCAACATATGGAATTTCATAATATCCAAATATATGTTATGATTTAATAGGAATAATTCATTTACAAATACGCTAGCCTTACTATACAGGTTCTGGGTTCTTGCCCAAGGTTAAATTATATAGCTCACTATTCTCAGTTAGAATGAAATGATTTATATAAACATCTCGGTCTCTACTAAATGAACTAGATCAGATTAGGTTAGCTCCCCTTACTTGGAACAAGTTCCAAGATAGTGCTCCTAATGAGTTCTGCAGAGATAGATCAACCGTTTGGGTATGAAATACAACTTAAACGATTTAGATCTACTCATAACAACATGTTATAAATCTCTTGAAAAAGAAAGAGAAGGAAAATAAGTAATGACCGAAAACTGAGCTCCGAGAACTCACCTAGATCTTGATGAGATAGACGATCTCACTTTATTCGAGAAGGAATTCAGCTTTGAGAAGGTTTTTTCTAAGGATAAGAAGTGAGAGAACAGAGAGAGAATGAGAGAGAAAAATTGTCTGGTGAGAAATGAAGTTTTTGGACATTGAAGCCTCCTTAAATACTCCTTCAACCCGCGCGCTTTCGCTTAAGCGAGCTAATCCTCGCTTGAGCGGAATTTGCTTTCACCTAAGTGAGCTCACCCTTGCTTGGGCGAGAAAACCAAAAAGTTGAACCTCTCAGATTTCTGCTATTATCGCTTGAGCGAGAAATACCTTACTTGGGTAAGCTGCATCTCACATGGGCGAGAAGCATTCTCGCTTGAGCAAGATTAAGTCTAGAGAGCTACCTATTTTTCCTGTGACTCCTCGCTTAAGCGAGGTCGCCTCTCACCTAAGCGAGATCCCTTCTTGCCTGGGCGGGGGACGGCTGGGGTGATCCTATATGTTCTCGCTTGAGCGAGACTGATTTCGCTTGAGTGAGAACACTCTAGAATGTCTAATTTTGCAGGACAACTTCTTTCTTGAGCGATGTCGGCTTCACTTGAACGAGACACCCTGCACCCAAAACTCTCAATCTCTCTCTCGGATGAGATTATATTGGTTCTCGATCATACTCTCTAGCTTATCTCATGTACCACACATAACAACTAATTTCTAACCCGTTATGCACATCACACTCGACAACATCACAATACAGCATTTGAGAATATACTGTTCATTAGCCGACAATCATACAACTTTTACATTCACATTCCAATACATGAATAATTCATACACTTTAAGCATACACAGCACAATTCAAATGGAATAATGAATATGCATAAATACACCGATCTGACAAGTACACTTACTAGTTAATACTTTATGAGCTTGTGACAGTCATCATGCACCAACATGTAGATATAGGAAGAGGAATGACAATCCTCCTGAGCCTAAAGCTAATTTGGTCAAAGGAGATGGTGTGATAGTCGTAGTTATTTCTCAAGCCTTAATTGTGGCCAATGTGAGCAAAGGGATAGTAGACTTTGGGGCTATAAGGCACATCTATGCTAATCAAGATGCTTTTTCCTCTAATACTAATATAAGAAAAAGAGAAGAGCATGTTTATCTTGTTGATTCTCAAACTGCTAATGTAGTTGGAAAAGGAAAAATTCTTCTCAAACTCATGTTGGAAAGACTTTGACACTCAACATTGTACTTTATTTATCAAGCATTAGAGCTAATTTGATTTCTATATCTCTATTGGATTTGGAAAAGGGGGGGAGTTAAAGTTCTCTTTGAATATAAAAAAAATAATGATGACAAAGAATGATGTATTCGTGGACAAGGGATATTACGATCAAGAACTTTTTGTATTGAATGTTTCTGAAATCAATAATGAGAATGCTTTTTTGTTTACTTTGTTGACTCTTATGATTTGTGGCATGCTAGATTAGAACATGTTAGTGTTTTTTATGTGAAAAAAATGTAAGAAAATAGTTTAATTTTTGAAATTAAAACTGCATGTTTTAATAAATATGAGGTATGTACAAAAAGTAAAATTATCAAAAAAGTCTTGTTTTTCTATGCAACATGAATTTGAATTGCTTAGTTTAATTCACAGAGATCTAGTAAATCTAAAACAAATAATAATTAAAGATAGTAAAAAATATCATGCAACTTTTATAGACAATTTTTCTAGATATACCAAAGTATATTTAATTAAAAGTAAAGATAAGGCTTTTGAAATGTTCTTAAAATATAAAGATAAAGTAGAGAATCAATTCAATAAAAAGATTAAAAGAGTTAGATCAGATACGGTGGAAAATATGTTCTTTTTAATGAGTTTTGTGTAAAAAACGATATAATACATGAAATCCTAGGGCCAAGATTACTAAGAGCACCTTTACTGATGGTTCTTGGGAGGAGTTATCTTCAAAAGCTAGTTTATAGTGAATTCCTTTAATTCTATTTAAGAGACTTTTTTTCTTGTTAAAAATATTTTAAAATGTAGTTTTATTCTAGATAGAGATATTAGTTTTAAAACTACAAATGTTTTCAATCCAAGAATTTGATTCTCGCCAAGAGTTCCTAACTTGATTATGGAAGTCATTGTGAGACATCCAGGACCCAAGGAATTTAAAAGGTTTATCAATCTCTAAAATGGTATTAATATTCCTAATTTTGAGGTAAAGGGCAGCATGGTCAGATTTTAAAAAAAGAATGTGAATAAGTGATGGCAATGGTAAAATATCCAATGAGCACATGCAAAATTTACTCACAACAGATAGGATATTTACTCGCTACACGGGTACATGTATATGTATGGAGAAATATCCACAAATTCTAATGGAAATAGGTGCAAATATGGGGATCTAAGTACCCACCCGCCCTATACCTGCATATATATATATATATATTACTTATGTGAAATTATATAAGATTAATATAAAAATATATTCAATAATAAGGTAAACCAAAAAAATTATTTTGTTTCATATTTTTAATAGAAAAATTTATTTACTATTTTATATTGTTTAATTAGGCTAATATAATTTAATTATTACATGGTTAATATGAGATTAATTTTTTTAAATAAATTATTTATATATGACATACATACAAACTATTTTTTACACAAATATTTTCTTTAATAAAATCATATTGATATTTAAATCATAGAGTGAATGATAAATAATAAACAAATTATAAATATTTTATAAATTTTACAATCATTTACTATTACCGTAAACTTATTATTTACTGATAATATTAGCTTAAGCAAATGTGTGTTAGATTCATCTATGTCTTTGATCCATTTAAGCATATGAATTGTGAGTTTAGCTAATTTTTACGAAAAGTTTAGATTCATCTCTGTCTTTGATTCATTTAAGCGAATGCGTGTTAGCTTAAGCGAATTTGACAAAAGATTTAGATTCATCTCTGCGTTTTTTTCTAGTTCAACAAAATATCCTTAGTCATTACTCTTATTCTGATCAAATTAAAATGATTATTTTTAAGATAATTGGGATAAATATATGATGTTTTTAAATAAAAAACCCTTACATTTTGAAAATATAACAATCCAAAAAAAATTGTTATGTAAGTTTAGGATAAATAGAAAAAAGATAAATTGAATAAAGTTTCTATAACAATATTTTAAAAAAAATAACGTGTTTTTATTAGATTTTTTACTTTAAATTTTTCTTTTCAAACTTTTATCAAAATTTTTTTAACCCTAACCACTCAATCTATCGTTAAACTTTATATTAAAAACACAAAATAAAATCTTAAATATCTTTAAAAATAAAGATAGAAATAAATTTGATAGAATATGATATAATTTTATGTGAATAAATAATTATATTTTTTTTAACTTTAAAAAAATAGGTTAAAAAAGATTTATTTTAAATATTTAAAAAATTAAAATTTTTTATATGTAAAATTTAATAAAAATTAAATTTTAAATTTTTAAAACTCGTTAATTTTGCTAATTTATTTATAAGTTAATTGCTTACGGTAACTTTCACCGTAAATTTAATTGTCAAATATCGTATTAAAAAAAAAAGTCTTTTTTTAACAAGTCTTTTCTTAACCAATAAAAAAAGAAAAATCATTTCGTGTGATGTCTATATCTAAGTAGTTTTGTGTCAGAATAGAATCGTTGCAATCAGTGTAGTGAAGAAGACAGTGAGTGAGAGTGGTAGTTGAGAATGGTAAAGAAGGAGCAGTTCCTCAGGCAAAATGGCCACAACGAAAACGGTTCTGTCTCGCGTAGTGACTTCCCTCCGGACTTCGTCTTCGGAGTCGCCACGTCCGCATATCAGGTTCGCTGCCAATGCAGAAGCACTGTTCCAAATTTCATGTAAATTTGATGAACATTTTGTTGCCAAATTTGAATGCCTTGATTTTTCGTTCAGCTTTTTTTTTTCTATTAAATTTTTTGTCGATAAAATCGAAGTTTAAAATTTATACAAGTGTTCCTGTAGTTTCAAAATTAATTTTATTGGGTTCCTCTTGTGCTCTAATGATTAATGGATTTAGGGATCCAATTTGATATATTTTTTCCAGACTACAGTAATGAACTTACAAATTCTAAACTGTAGTGTAGGGATTAAGGAATTATTTGAAGATATCCCGCAAAAATGTTGGCATAATAGAGTAATTTATCGTCGTCGTCCTTGTTATAAAATTCCGCCTAAGAGCTGTGTTTTGGCTTTCACTAGATCGATGTTGGTGCAGTTTATTTTATTGTATTTTACTCTTTTTCTTGTGTTTTGTGGAGCTAGTTCTCAGATTTCAGTCATTGGACACGACTTTTGGATTTGGTAGATAATATCATAATAGTGAAACTTTTAACCTGTCAAATTTAGTTTTATGCATTTTAATCAATTTTTACATGGATAAAACTTAGGTATAGTACCATTAGTACTTTTGGTGCTGTTCTCAAATCATGATTGTAATTTTACCTTGGTAATTTGGATAATAAAGGTCAGCACACATTATCGAAGCAAAACTGTCTTGATCGAAAAGTAGTATCACTAGCACCTATGATAATGTACTTATGTTTTGTTCTTTTTACATTATCATCACATAATTGGTCATCTAAGCTTTGAAATTCTTGGTCCTCTTAAGGATGGCTTCCTTGAATTTCGACTAAACTTAGCATAAATTTGGCTTTGATCAAGTTGAATATCATTATAGTTGTTGAAGTCCCAGATCAATTATAAATATGGCAAAATAAGAGCTTATAAATGCTAAAACAATCCTTATCTTATGAGCTAACTTTTGGAGTTGAGTTAGACCTTAACCCAAATTTAAGATGGTATTAGAGCTTATCATGAATTCAATATTAGGCCCACCGTCGACTAAAAAGAAAACCAGGCCCCACAGATTTGTCCAGTGCAATTAACTTGACCTTGTGGATTTTCCAATGCAACTTAATGTTGTAGGTAACCATTTACTCAAAGTAGGTTGTAAATTGTTATCAGCATGAAAGACATGGTAATCAAGATATAAGAAACGTTGGGCTGACTGTTCACTGTTGGTTCATGTCAAATGATTATTCCTGTTTTATGAAATTCTAGATGAAGGGAAAGCCTGGATCCATGGCTTTGGAGTTTGACAAATTATTAGGAGAATGACATATAATCAGATAAGCAATGCTATATTTATAACCGGTGGGACAATTGTTCAACTAAACATTTAACTGCTTATACCTTATTTCTAGATAGAAGGTGCTTGCAAGGAGGGTGGTAGAGGTCCTAGCATATGGGATGCCTTTTCACACACTGAAGGTGTGAGAACTTTTCCTTAGTAGATAAATCATGAGACCCTTCACTATCAGTTTGCGTAATGGTGCTACTTAATGCTTCATTACTTGGTTTGTGTTTGTTGTTTTTATTAGGAAAAGTTATTGACAAAAGCAATGGTGATGTAGCAGTTGATCATTATCATCGGTACATGGTCAGTAATATCATTTTTCTTAATGTTTTTGACATTTATTTTTCTTCTGTTTATATATTACAAGTGCGGATTTATTTTGGGCTAAAATAACTGCATAGCTTATGCAACTTTTCTTACTTGGAGACTGGCTTTCATTTTCATTCATATGAATGCATCAGTTTTTCTTTTTACCCCTCATTAATACTTTTGCATCTTGTTTGCCCTTCCAAGCCAAATAATTTGAAGGGGAATGCCACATTGACTCTACTTTTGCATGAGAGTATGGGGAGATGTCTGGAATTTTATTATTGCATCTGATAATTATTTTGTTAACTGTCCGGTTCCTGCCTTGTGCACAAATTTCCAAATCTTAACTTTTTGAATGTAATTATGGAAACAGGAAGATGTTCAACTTATAGCCAAGTTGGGATTTGATGCTTATAGATTTTCAATTTCATGGTCTCGTATTTTCCCTGGTATGTTTTAATTTTAAATATATATGTTTTTTATATGGCTAGTTGTTAAATGAATGAATTTCCATGTCCATGAGATCTTGAAGCCTGAAAGTTTATCTTGTTCTCTGTTTCATCGTTACTCAGTCAGTAGCCAATAGATACCTCTCTTTTGGCTACTAAATTATGTCCATAAGAGTTGACTAAAGGCTTACTCAGAGTTTAAAAGGAAGGGACTGGTTGGAAAGGAGGCATCTTGGTTAAGATGATACAGAAAGAAAAAGGGTTTCTTTTTTTTGGATCTCAGTCTCTGACATTATTATTCAATTTATTCTTGTTCTACTTGATTTATATTAATGAAATCGTTCTTTCTGTATTCCTTTCCTATAACAACTAGGAACATTTGATGTGGAAACCACTAAAACTAATTATAGCCCAGCAATATGTCAAACCTATAACTTGCATATGTTTTTGAATGACAAACATGAAATTATCACATCCCAAACTGCTAATGAATACCCTACTATAGCGAATAGAAGAAGAATATATCAGCAGGCATTAAAATTATACTAAGAGTTAGTTAAACCTGTTACAAATGCAAAACGTTAAACCTCTTCCAATTTTCAACATTTAATATTGCTGCTATATAAATCACTTGAATAGTTGAATTTCTCTGCAATTCTGCCTATGGAATATTTTCTTTCCCTATTTGTTTCTTGCTTCTTCTGCTCAGGATTGTACATCTACATGCACTTCTTTGCTTAGGAGTAAACACCAACTTTAGCCTCCCAAAGTTGCAGGTGAAATCAATTTGGTCCTCTGAAGAAAGATAACATCGATTTAATCTCAACCAAAGGCTCTATTAAAATGTTCACTTCTCTCATTCTGTATACCAAAGGATGATTTTATATATCACTTTCCATGATTGAGAGACTAAGTTGATCACATCCTTCTTTGGAGGAAAAGATTGTTGTTGTACTCTTTTTTGTTAGCTAATGTGGGTGCTTTGTACTGATCTCCACCTAAGTGAGAATAAATGAAATAGCTTGACTTTGCTGCAACTGGTGTGTACAATGATTATGTTCGATTATACAATGAACCATACTTTTTTCAAATTCTGAATATTTGATATATCATCTTGAACTATATAGTAGAAATGCAAAATTACTGTTTCCCCATTTTATTACAAAACATTACCCTCATGTCTTGTTCATTCTGAGTGTTCATTGGCTTTCATTTATATTAGGAGTCAAATGAAAAATGTGACATGGTGTGTTGGTGGAAAATGATAAGCATTGCATTTCTTTAATGTTCTTTTTACAAATTTTATGCCCCACCATCTGTATGAGCTGTTGTTTTGAGGATAATATGTTATATACTATACAAATATGTAATCTCCTCGCACCCAAAACCATCATAGTTATATTTAAATTGAAAAATTTGTATGATATAAATGATAGAGATTCTTTGAATTTACCATTTTATTTTATTGTAATGGTTTTTGGGTATAGATGGCTTAGGAACCAAAGTCAATGACGAAGGGATATCTTTTTATAACAACATTATTAATGCTCTTCTTCAAAGAGGTATGTCTGTGTGTACCTTTAAATTTTAGCTCTTATATATAAAAATATATATTAAGATATTCTTTTCCAGCAGGTATACAACCTTATGTAACTTTGTACCATTGGGATCTTCCACAGCATCTTCATGAGTCAATGGGAGGGTGGTTGAATAAACAAATAATGTAGGCATCATGTAACTGATCTATTTTTACTTTTCACAGTTCGTTTCTTTCCAGATACTCAGAAAACTGACTTGTGTGATGTGCTTGAAAGTAGTAAAGGTTATGAGATAGTAACCTATTTATGTGAAAATGAAATGCTTATGATCATATCTGTTTTATGACTATTGAGTAGTAAGAAATTGGAAGTGAAAGCACACCTGTGATCTGTTCTCACTTCAGATAAAATTGGAAAATAAAGTAGTCTCTGGATCTTTTCCTTTGGGGAAGAAAATTGCTTGAATTGCCGATGAACTATAGAATCAGCAGTGTTTTATTTCACGTGTAGGATTGAGGCCTAGTGAAATCAATGTTGCAGAGTCGTATTTGTTGGTATTCCAGAATTTTTATAGAGAAAGTATGAGATAGATAGAAACTGAGTCTGACATTGCAGAAAACGGGAAATTAATCCAGAGATTACAGAAACTGAAACGAGAAAGAGGCAGAAATGTAGCATTACGACATGAATATTGTTTTTTATCTCTCTAATTGAATCATTGCTACAAAATATTGTGCCTGTGATTTATTGAAAAAAAAATATTGCATAATACAAACAAAACTTCTTGACAGTGTGCACTAATTTCATTTGTCTTCTATTGTAAAATTCCATTACTCATCATTATTTCCATAATATATGCTTCATTGAAGGTTAGTGATTTGCAGAATAGATGTCAATGAGTTAGCTCAGTTTTCAAATGAGTCAAACTCAAGCTTTGTAAGCTTGGCATTAATAGCTCATGAATAACTTGTGAATGTCTATACCATCTTCATTGTCAAGATTTCATCTTTTGGTCTTAAATAATCATGATGAATACAATTTATTTTTATTTTTATTTGTACTTTTTGTAGTATAGAGTTGTTTATTAAAAGCAAAATTAATAAACTTAAAAATAATTCAAGGAGAACTTTGACTTGATTAACTAAATGAGCTAAACAAGTCAATGTCAAGTTTCACATTATTAAATAAGCCATGTTCATGCTTTAACTTTGGCTGATTAACTAAATAGCCAAGTTTCAAAACACTGTTTCTTCCTACCAGCCAAACTTGAACTTCAAGTGCTTGGCTAGAGTCAACCCATTTACACTCATGATTTTTAGTATATTTATTCTGGTGGCTTTGTAGTCTAGTACCACCCAATTTCACCTAATGCTGTGTTTGATCCATTATGTTCACACTAAGCCCATCTTTTCTCATCTCCTTCATTGGTCTTAGGACCACCCTCGTAAATATTTTCCTTGGTACCTGTATTGAGAAGAGTGTTTAAAATCATCTTGTGGATTGATTTCAATATTCTATTATTGAATGGTGGTGTGGTTCTGATGTGGCATATGCTAGAGAGTACTTCGCAATCTATGCAGATACTTGCTTTGCAAGTTTTGGTGATAGAGTCAAGAACTGGATTACTATCAATGAGCCCCTTCAAACTGCAGTCAATGGGTATGATGTTGGAATTTTTGCTCCTGGAAGACATGAAAATGCTTTTCTAGAGCCATATTTGGCAGCACATCATCAAATTTTGGCCCATGCAGCAGCTGTTTCCATATACCGAAACAAGTACAAGGTGAAGAAGGACTGTACTTATTTCTAAACAACTTCCTATTTTGAAAGTTGGATTACTTATATTTTGTTCACTGTTTGTTTTATTTTGTTGCTTTCCTCCACTGCTATCCTTTGTGTAATTTCTTGATTTTCAATTGTCTCTGAAAAAATATCCCATATTGGCTCCGAATATGGTTGTGATACTCTTTATAAGACTTGGTCAATCTCCTCTCTAAAGCTAGCTTTTGAGTGAATTAAGCCTAGTTTTCTAATATGGTATTGTTAACAAGTTTAAGGGATAATATCTATGCATTTCACTATAAAACTGTTGTACATTATATACAACAGAAGGGCTCGTTGCCAAGCTTAAAATCAGGAAATAAAAAAAGGAATAAATCCCTAAACTTTAGCAACTAATCAGATCCTATAAAAAAGAAACAATGTTCTCCTAATAATTACAAATAGAAAGCTAATCACTCCATAATCCTTTTCAAACAGATTCCAACAGGAGTTAAAGCCTATAAAGTCATAATGCTGGGCCACCTGCAGGCTACGAATAATGTCCAATTCTGCAAACATCAAGCACTAAGTGTCTAGTCTCGGGCATGTGGATAGGTGGGTAGGTGTGAAGATATCCTACATTGACTAGGAATAAGGCCAAGATACTTCTTATAAGGCTTGGGCAATCCTCCTCTCTCAAGCTAGATTTTGGGAGTGAGTTAGGCCTAATTTGTTAATAATCTACATAGGGTCAGACCTAATAAAACATTAGAAGAAACATTTGAAAAAGATCTTGCGCTAAATGTTGGAGTGAAAATTCAGTTTGTGATAAGAGACTAATGGAGTGAAAATTGAGTTAATTGAAAATTTGCTCTGAATGGTTTTTTGATAGAGCCAGACCCCACTTGGTTGTAGGGAATTGTTGTTTTTCTCAATTTTCAAATTATCCTTGTTTAACAATTACTGAATTTTGGTCATATTAGAAAAACATTCCAAGGTTAAATATTATTCTTTTTTACATGATGTTCCAGGATAAGCAAGGGGGACAAGTGGGCTTGGTGGTAGACTGTGAATGGGCAGAGCCTAATTCTGATAAGATTGAAGATAAATCTGCTGCTGCAAGGCGCCTGGATTTTCAGATTGGCTGGTAACTCACCATGCATTCATTCCATTTTATTAATTTAATTAGAGATTAATAGATTTTGTTAGTTGAAATTGTTAAGATGAGAGATACAAGAAGGCATGAGAGGAATTCTGTGTGTCTCAACTATACCACGGGATGTATATTTATATTGATAATGAGAATCATAATCATAGCTACAAAATTAAGGACAAATATACAATTACCTAATTACTATAATTATATGGATACTATATCCCTAAATAATATATTTAAATATATTTAACAGATACTGTTTCTCTAAATAATATATTTACATATATTTAAGACTCCCCTTCAAGCTGGAGCATATTCATCATATGCACTGAGCTTGACACATATGTACTGAATACGAGGATCCCTTAAAGACTTTGTTAATACATTTGCCAGTTGATCATTTGAATTGACAAAACTTGTGGTGATAACTCTGGATAAGATCTTTTCACGAAGGAAGTGACAATCAATCTCAATATGCTTCGTTTGTTCATGAAAGACTGGATTCGAGGTTATGTATAAGGCTGCCTGATTATCACAAATGAGTGTCATTTGTGTATCTTCCCCAAATCTTAATTCTTTAAGTAGTTTTTTCAGCCATATAAGTTCACATTGGCTGAAGTCATGGCTCGATATTCTGCTTCTGCACTAGAAAGAGAAACTACATTTTGCTTCTTGCTCTTCCAGGATATTAGATTACCTCCAGTTAAAACACAATAGTTAGAGATGGATCTCCTATCATGAAAGCCTGCATAACTTGCATCAGAATATCCAACAATCTTATCATGACCCTTGTCCTCGAATAGGAGACCTTTTCTTAAAGCACCTTTGATATACTTCAAGATGCGAATCAATGCATCCCGATGTTTTTTACAAGGAGCGTTGAGGAATTGACTTACGACACTAACAGCAAAAGAGATGTCAGATCGAGTAACTGTGAGGTAATGTAGTTTACTAACCAATCTTCTATACTTTTCTGGGTCAACAAGAGGCTTTCCGTGACTCGGTAGAATTTTAGAATTAGGATCCATAGGAGTATCTATGGATTTGGCCCCCATTAAACTTGTTTCCTCCAATATATCCAATGAATACTTCCTTTAGGAAATTACAATACCATGCTTGGATTGTACCACCTCTATTCCCAAGAAATATCGAAGTTTTCTAAGGTCTTTTGTCTGAAAATGGTGACATAAGTGGTTCTTCAACTGTGTAATGCCATAATGGTCACTGCCAGTGATAACAATATTGTCCACATACACAACCAAGTATATGCATCTTGTGGCTGAGTGGTAATAAAAATCTGAGTGATCAACTTCACTTCGAATCATTCCAAATTGTTGGACAATGATGCTGAGTCTACCAAACCAAGATCTTGGAGACTGTTTCAGACCATACAAGGATTTCTAAAGACGACAAACTAATCTTGAAGACTCCCCCGAGCAACAAAACTAGGAGGTTGCTCCATATAGATTTCCTCAACAAGGTTGCCATGAAGGAATGCATTCTTAATGTCAAGTTGATGAAGGTTCCATTGGCGGATGGCAGCCATGGACAAGATGAAGCGCACAAAGGTCATTTTAGTGATTAGAGAGAATGTGTCATCATAATTCAAGCCAAAGATTTGAGTATAGCTTTTTGCCACAAGATGAGCTTTAAGGCGATCCACTTGATCATTAGGGCCCACTTTGATAGTGTATCCACTTGCAACCGACAACAGATTTACTTGAAGGAAGACGAACGAGGTCTCAAGTGCTACTGCTGTGAAGTGTACACATTTCATCAAATATTGCTTGATGCCAAGCAGGATGTGAGAGAGCTTCTACTGTATACTTAGGAATGGAAACAAAGGACAAAGAAGAAAGACACATATATTGGGAAGAAGATAGACAATGATATGATAAAGTAGCATAATAAAGAGAGGGGCTATGAGTGGAACATATACCTTTTCGAAGTGCAATAGAGAGATCAGTGTGGGGTGATAAGGGCGGAGGAGGCACATATGTTGGAACTGGCAGAGGGTGACGTGGTATGTTAATAGTGGCAAAGGTGGCCGACGATGGTACACTTGTAACGGATGTAGAGGAGGGTCATCAATAGGAGGTGTGACCTCTAGTGGGTGAAAAACAATTGGAACTGATGGTGAAGGTATGACAGACTTTGGTTCTAATTCAGACACTGAAGGAGAACTATAAAAGAGAATAGACTCAAAGAAAGTAACATCAGCATGTATAAAATAACGTTTAAGAGTTGAAGAGTAACACTTATAATCCTTTTGAGAATGATTATAACCAAGAAAAACACATTTGTGGGCACGAGGAGAGAGTTTGTCATTACTTGGACTAAGATTATGGGCAAAACATGTGGACCCAAACACACGGAGAGGTATAGGATGCAAAGGTAGTTAAGGAAACAATATAGAGTGTGGTACCTGGTTATGGAGAACAAAAGAAGGCAATCGATTGATAAGGTAACAAGCTGTCAAGACGGCATCTCCCCAAAAATGATGTGGCACACAACTATCTAAGAGTAGAGTACGAGTAATTTCAACAATGTGTCTGTTTTTCCTTTCAACAACTCTATTTTGTTGAGGAGTATGAGCATAAGAAGTTTGATGAAGTATGCCATTAGACGCCATAAAATTTTGAAAGGAATGTGACAAGTATTCCTTAGCATTATCACTATGCAAAGTGTGAATTGGAAGACCAAATTGAACTTTAATTTCATTAAACAATTCTGAAAAATAGAAAATAATTCAGAACGATCTTTCATTTAAAATAACTATGTGCACAAGAGTAATCATCAATAATAGTAACAAAATACCTAAAACTCAAAGTAGAAACAGTACGATTAGGACTCCAAACATCAGAATGAACCAAACTAAAAGATGTGCCTTGCTTATTTTGATGACTCGGAAAGGAACTATGGACATTTTTTCCTAGTTGACACGACTCACAAGAAAGTGTAGATAACTGAGCGAGACTTGACACCAATAGTTGTAGTTTCTGAAGACTCAGATGTCCCAACCTAGCATGCGAAAGAAGAGGGTAATCCTCTGCCGAACTAACATGTGTGAGGGGTTGGAGTTGATAAAGTCCATGGTCCTGGAGAAAAACAGAATCTTTAGTAAAGTAGACAACACAATTAAGTTAGTGAGCCGACTTATAGATAAAAGATTAAAAAGAGACCCAAAAATATAGAAGATATTGTCGATAGATAATGATGGAAGAAGAGAGATAGTGCCAACACCTTGAGATTGTGTTTGAGACCTATTGGCCATAGTAACAAAAGGTAAGTGCCTAGATGTAGAGAGGGAGGAAAAGAGGGATTTGTTAGCGGTAATATAATCAGTGGCACTTGAATCAAGCACCCAAGGACCAAGAGATGGGGAATGAGAATTACTAACAAAAGAATTATCTGTGTACACAATAGAAGTAGTGGAACCAGAGGTTTGGCGATTCCCATACCAACGAAGAAAATCGTTAAAGAGTGCTGGTGGGATGTTGGGAGTGGAAGTAGGTTTGAGGGGATCAAGAGTCACCATGGGTCAACCTATAAGAGAGATAAACACAACCAAACAGTGGTAAAACAAGGTAAAAAACAGCGACGGTGAGAAGCCAGTTAAAAAAGCACGCTGAAAGAGTCACCGGCGGTATGAACAGTGCTGCCGGAAAGTTGTTGGTAAGGAACAGTGCTGCCAGAAAAGTTGCTGGCAAGGAACAGCGGTGGCTGGAAAAAAAGTATCCGGCGAGTAAACAGTACAGTCGGAAAATTTGCTGGATAGTGAACAGTAGCCAGAAAAGTTGCCAGAGAGGGAACAGTGCTGTCGGAAAAAAACAGAAACTGGAGACACGGTTTCTAAAAAAAAAGTTTGCACCTATGAGCAATGGGCCCATAGGGAATGAATGAATTAGGATTTCCTCCTTGTTAGGCTTTGATACCATGTTAAGATGAGAGAAAATAAGAAGGCATGTGAGAAATTCCAACTACACCACGGGATGTATATTTTTATATTGATAACGAGAATCGTAATCATTGCTACAAAATTAAAGACAAATATACAGTTATCTAATTACTATAATTATATGGATACTATTTCCCTAAATAATATATTTAAATATATTTAACAAATACTTTTTCTCTAAATAATATATTTACATATATTTAACAGAAATAAATGCATGAAGACTTGTGGATAACTTGCAAACACAGATAGACAGAATGCTTTGACTCATTCTCCATGTAACAATCATTTTAATGAAAATTTTATATTGATGGAGCACCTCCACTAGAATTTCTTATCATGTTGCTATGAAATGTTGAACTGAATTCAGCAGGTGGTCTGGATTTGAAAATTTTCCTTTTAATTTTTCTATGTAACGGCACAAATTAATAAAGACAAACTGGTATCCTTTTTTTCTTTGACCCTGATGAACACTAGAAACTGACACTAAATCTTAGGCGAAGAAAATTAATGCAAAGAAGAATATGGGGATTGTTTAGCCTTGCAGGTTGATGTCTGTCATATCTAACCTTGGTGTAAGATGCATGCTTATGGCATATAACTTTAACACAGGTTTTTGGATCCACTGTATTATGGAGACTATCCTGAAGTCATGCGTGAACGACTTGGAGACCGGCTTCCCCAATTCTCAAAGGAGGATAAGAAACTTATTTTGAACGCATTGGACTTTATTGGTCTAAATCACTACACATCAAGGTTTATTTCTCATGTGACAGAATGCAATGTAGAAAACTATTACTACAAGATGCAGGAGATGGAGAGAATTGGTACTGGAACATTTTATCATTTTCTAAAATATCTATCCCCAATGAATTCTTAATAATTGTGCTCTCTGTCAACAGTGGAATGGGAAGGTGGCGAGACTATAGGTGAGAAGGTGTGTGCCATCTCTCTCTCTCTCTCTCTCTGTGTGTGTGCTTGCTGTATGCATATATTATACAAACCCAAACATGCAAGTTTTATATTCTATATGCATATAACAGGCGGCATCAGAGTGGCTTTATGTTGTTCCTTGGGGTCTACGGAAGGTTCTCAATTACGTATCACAAAAATATGCTACCCCAATATTTGTCACAGAGAATGGTACGTAACTATACTTATCCTTTTGTTGAGACTTAAGGGCATGGATTGGATTGACATAAAACTAATCCAAATTCATTTTAAATCCAATTATATGGATTGAATTTTAAACTAATTTATTTTATTTTATTTTTAAAAACTGGTTTTAAAATTTGGATTTGGTTAAAACTAATTTTAAATACAATATTTTACATCAAATTTGTTTTAAATCTAGTTTCACATTAAATTAGTTTTAAATCTAATTTTTAAGGCAAAAGTGATTTTCAATATATTTGTAAATTTAGTTTGAGGTAAAAACTAATTTATTGTATTGCACCATTGCATTAAATTAGTGCATTTTAAAAAGATTTTAATAATCATTATTAATTATATTATACTTTATAGAAACTTTTATATAATATTTATTATTATTTTTAACTTCTTTTTAATAAATAGAGTTGATGATGAAAGTTTAAATTAAAATTTATAAAAATAAATATTAATATTAAATAATAATAAAAATATAATTTTATAATATTTTAAAAATTTTAAAAATAAATTTAAATATGAAAATAATAATAATAATAAATTTAGAAAATACTTTTTATTTCTTTAATATGATAATTATAGTTTAAAAATTATTATTTTAAATTTTTAATCTTAATTATAACAACTAAGGTTAATAAAAAATATTAGTGGCAAGACATAGTCATGAAAAATTTTTGTCAACTGATATGATGCGGAGGCCTAATAAGCCAGGACATGAGGTAGTGACTTTATGTCCGATATGGTTTTGGATGAATAAAGGAAAATACCATTTTGGAAAGTGGATTTAATCACTAATCCAGTTAAAAGAATATGATGAATCAAAAAACCAGTTTAACATGCATCAAGTTTTTTAAAACTGGTTTAAAATTAGTTATGGATTAGACTTACATAATTGGATTTTGCCCAGCCTTACTTGAGAGAGAAGAAATTGAGAGGGTTGAATGAAATTTGTGTGTTTGTTTGGTAGTCAACTAAGGACTTTATTTATAATGGCTTGGTAATAGTTACAAAGATTACATATTTACCACAAATAACGCTATCTAAGTAATAAATGAATATTTCTTATTTATTTGCAATTATTCTCAACACTCCCCTTCAAGCTCGAGCATATAGATATATGCACTAAGCTTGTTACATGTATATAACTAATTCATGGTTCCCTTAAAGACTTAGTGAAAATGTCCATAAGTTGATCGTTTTAGTTGACAAATCTTGTGGCAATATCTCTTGATAAAATCTTTTCTCTAATGAAATGTCAATCTACCTCAATATGTTTGGGTCTCTTGTGAAACACCTGATTTGAAGCAATGTGCAAGACAACTTGATTATCACAAATAAGTGTCATCTGTGAGGTCTCTCCATACTTCAAATCTTGAAGCAATTGTTTGAGCCATTTAAGCTCAAACATGGATAAGGCCTTGGCTCTGTATTTAGCTTTTGTGCTTGATATTGTTATCACAGTTGCTTCTTGTTTTTCCAAGAAACCAAGCTACCTTCAATAAAAATAATATACCCTGAAGTGGATCTTCTATTAATGGGATAAACTGCCTAATCTGCATCACAATATCCTTTAATACAAGTAGAACCTTTGTCTTCATGTAGAAGACGCTTGGGGGATCCCTTAATGTATTTCACAACGCGAACAACTGCATCCCAATGTTTCCTTCAAGGAGAGTTAAGGAACTAACTTACTACACTTACTGCAAATGTGATATTAGGCCAAGTAATAGTGAGAAAATTTAATTTACCAACAATGATTGCCTCTACCTTTTTGGATCTTCAAACAACTCTCCCTAATTTGGTATAAGCTTAGTATTAGGATCCATAAGAGTATTAATAGATTTTGCATTTATCAATCTTGTCTCTTCCAAAATATTTAGTGTATTTCTTTTGGAGATAACACCATGTTTAAGATTGTGCTATTTTAATTCTCAAGAAATATTTGAGTCTACCAAGGTCCTTTGTTTGGAAATGCTGACAAAGGTGTTGTTTCACCTGTATTATTCCATGATAATCACTACTCTAATAACAATATTATCGACATAGACAACTAAATAGATGCTTCTAGCAAAGGAGTGACAATAGAATGCGAAATGATCTGCTTTACTCCAAACCATGCTAAACTGCTGAATGACCATGCTAAATCTGCCTAACCAAGCACAAGGAGATTGTTTCAGACCATATCAAGCTTACCATGGGAGACAAATACATCCAAAATACTCCCCTTGAGTAACATGACCAAGAGGTTACTCCATGTAAACTTTTTCCAAGTGATAAATAATAAATATGAAGGAAACAAAAAGGGCCAATAGCAAATGACACCCGTGGATAATATAACATTTAGTAAGAACATTACTCTAGAAATGATTAGGAATATGTGAGTAAATTAGAAGAGTCTGTTATGAATAGCTATAACAGACGTATTAGGATTAAGATTTATTTTTGTATTATAATAATGAGCTTGGCTTAGTAGGATTACATATGTATTCTTATAAATATAAGGGTGTCTACACATTGTAGAGCATCCAATTCTAACACACTAATCTGTATCTCTCTCTCTCTTAATTCTACAGAGACCAAGTAGAACACCAAATATCAGAATGGATTAAAACAAAAGGAAAAGAAACCTTATTATTAAAATGACCTAGAAAAGAATTAATGAATGTGTTTAACTAATTGATACTACTCACAAGACAAAGACGACAATTTTGATAGACACCATCTAACACAACTTAGCAAGATTTGGGTATCTTTTGAGCATGAATCAAGAGGTGGGAGTCTGCTGCTGAACCAACATGAGATGGTCTATGTAGTTGATAAAGACCATGTGACTCACCTGATTCCATTTCAATCATCTGGCCCAGAATTTTTAGTGAATATAATAATGCAATCAAGAGATCAAGGGAGATGACTCATAAGACAAAGACATCAATTTTGACATGACTTGGCACCATCTGATATGACTTGGCAAGATTTGGATGTCCTAATTGAGCATAAATCAAGAGATGGGAGTTTGCCATTGAATCAACATGAGCTGGTCTATGTAGTTAATAAAGACTATGTGTCTCACACTCTCACATCTAATTCGAATCATCTGCCCTGAACTCTGGTTCTACAGAAAATAGAATCTTTATTAGAAGTAATAATGCACTAAAGAGACTAGGATAGATGGCTTATGGATACAAATTAAAAGGAGATTTAGGAACATAAAAGACGTCAACAAAAGAAGGGGGAGGATGAACAGTACCAATGCCTTTAGATTAGGTTTGAGAATCATTAAACATAGTGACATGAGGTAAATATCCAACAGTAAAAGGGGTAGAGAAAAAGGATTAATTACCAATTATATGATCGGTGGCTCCAGAATTGTGTACCTAGGGACCAAGATAAGAGGAATGGTAGATGTCAATAAAAGAATTACTAGTAAGTACAAAAGAAGCAGTGGTACCTGAAGACTGATGTTCCGTATACCACTTCAGGAATTCATTGTAACTAGGAGGTGGGACTTGTGGTGGTGTTGGCAAGAGACCATAAAAGGAAAATGGCTAAGTGTTCTGAAAAACATGAGCAATGCAAGGAGGGCATCCATGTAAAGCATAGCACTAGTCAATGGTGTGCTTAAGCTTGTTATAGTAATCACATTTTGGGTGAGATTCCAAATTTATGGAATCAAGTCCTATCACCTTCTTGAGAGACAGGCAAATGAGTTAATGGGGATAGTAGGTGTTACAGTCTTAGGATGTGTTTTGGATGGAACACCAAAGAGTAGACAAAGTACTATTCATGGAGTGAACTGTGGTGGAACTCAAAATCTGATCAAGGATGTGGGAATACTCCTCTGGCAAACATATAATGCAAGTATCGTGAAAAATTGTTGGCACTAAAGTTCTAAAGTAGGTGTAGAAGTTGGAAGAAGTATGTCATTAAAGTCATAAAGGAGACCAGACACCTTAGCCAAATAATGATCCATAAAATCAACACAACGAGCCATAATACTAGTGATGAGGTCATGGCAAACCCCAAAAAACATTGAGTACTATTGGTATATAGGGCCATTGCTTGTGTCCAAACACCTTCACAAGTATCATGGTCACAAAAACCGGGATGCAATGATGGATGAAGCCCGGATTTAATGATGCAACCCAGCATCAATCTTTTTCCATCAAGTATTGTTTGCCTGTGATATACCATGCACCTTTTTAGTGAGATGTTCCTCATAATCTTGTTCAACAAGCTAAAGATGAATGGTAGAAGCCCAAGAGGTGTAATTGTTACCATTCTTCTCTATGGAGAGTGGAGAAATGACGTGATTGGTGAAAATATCTGTCTTAACCTTTGAAGGGTCAGAAGATGCCATGGGCAGCGGCCAGCGAGGAGGAAAAAACAATGTAAGAACAGTGCTAAACATTGGCAGTAACCCCAATTTGAGAGCAAGGAAGCACCAAAATGAAGAAAGGAGGGCAGAACTAGAAGGAGGAAAGAGAGACAAGTGAGATGAACCAAATGCTAGCAAAAAAGGCTTCTAGACGTGCCACCATGCGCTGCCAAACGTGGTGGCACGTAAAAAAACCATGCCAGAGAGGAGCAGTGCATGAAGGCCTGTGGTAGCTCTGATGACAGCGGGGCTGTGGGGGTTCTTCTGATCTAAGGGAGATGGAGCCAGTGATGTGGTCACCAGTGACAATGAGGTTGGTTGGTAGTACAGTGCTGAATGATAGGTCCAATAAATATGTGGATGAGTTTCTAAGTATTGGGCCAATGAGGCCCAAGGTTTGGAAGGTGTATAGTAGAAGAAAGAAGGCACAAGAGGATGGGAATGCCAGCATGGCAAAAGTTAATTAGGAGAATTTGTTGGAATCTTTGAAGGTATATAGGATGGGGGGGATAGTATGATTTCTGTTAGTGGGTTATTGGCACAGCAGGGACCTTGCTGTTACTGATTGTGGTTTTGGAGCTTTTTGTTGCTTGATCTTTTG